TGAACGGGGAAATCTGTTTGTCCTCCATAGAGACCGGAGGCTGTCGGTCCAACAAAATTCCAAAGAGTAAATGTATACATATATATGTAGGTTTAAGGACGAAAACAGATCAGCATCCATTGGCGCCTCGAGGGAAGGTAATTTTGTAAAAATAAGAATGTGTAAGTTCCACTTTCTATTAATCGGTAGAAAGATTACAAGACAGCATACCAACAAGTAAAACCATTCTGTAACAGAAATACACGGACATAGCATAGTAATCGATCAAAGACATCGTACTTTATGTTGTCTTAATGGAATCTGTCCCTTAGTGAATACGAAAATTAGGAAACCTTTAAGGAGGCCCTGATAGACATTTTACAACTGTACATACCGAAACCTGTCTTATACCAACACTGCTTAGTTACAATCAACAATCTTCAGGCGTCTTAAAGACTCCATAAAATCGCATCATGCAATTTACAATTGGCGTTTTGTGTCGTTAGTAAACCTATTTAAAACCAAGCTGGAGTGCGGTGATTTTCTGTAAAATGTGTATAGAACTGTTGTAACACCTTCGATGATTTTTTTAAAAAATTTAGACATGGGTTTGACTTGGCGATGTTATTACAGCCCACCCTAAGAAACTATGGTAGATTTTATCGATACACAGCTGCTTGAAAAAAAAACACCCTTATTCCTAGACATAATAAATTCAACAATTTTGCCACTTGTCCCTGTTCTCTTTTTGTGGAATACGTCAGAATCGAAAGAAGGGAAACAACTCTAAGATCTCATATTTATAAACAGTTTTAATGTTACAAAACTGCAACATTCGTTATTGCTAGTATAATTTACTGAGGCATTGAATACAATCAGAAAGTACTTGTCATGTACTTCAGATTTGTTATAATTGTCTATACGTTAAGTTAGAGTATGTTTTTAACAGACAGTTACCTATTGTAACCACGACCTATATAGTTACCTATTGTAACCACGACCTTTACAGTTATCTATTGTAATCACGACCTCTACAGTTATCTATTGTAACCACGACCTCTACAGTTATCTATTGTAACTACGACCTCTACAGTTATCTATTGTAACCACGACATCTACAGTTATCTATTGTAACCACGACCTCTACAGTTATCTATTGTAACCACGACCTTTACAGTTATCTATTGTAACCACGACCTTTACAGTTATCTATTGTAACTACGACCTCTACAGTTATCTATTGTAACCACGACCTCTACAGTTATCTATTGTAACCACGACCTTTACAGTTATCTATTGTAACCACGACCTTTACAGTTATCTATTGTAACCACGACCTCTACATTTATCTATTGTAACCACGACCTTTACAGTTATCTACTGTAACCACGACCTTTACAGTTATCTACTGTAACCACGACCTCTACAGTTATCCACTGTAACCACGACCTTTACAGTTATCTATTGTAACCACGACCTCTACAGTTATCCACTGTAATCACGACCTTTACAGTTATCTATTGTAACCACGACCTGTACAGTTATCTATTGTAACCACGACCTCTACAGTTATCTATTGTAACCACGACCTTTACAGTTATCTATTGTAACCACGACCTTTACAGTTATCTATTGTAACCACGACCTTTACAGTTACTATTGTAACCACGACCTTTACAGTTACTATTGTAACCACGACATCTACAGTTATCTATTGTAACCACGACATCTACAGTTATCTATTGTAACCACGACCTCTACAGTTATCTATTGTAACCACGACATCTACAGTTATCTATTGTAACCACGACCTTTACAGTTATCTATTGTAACCACGACATCTACAGTTATCTATTGTAACCACGACATCTACATCTACAGTTATCTATTGTAACCACGACCTCTACAGTTATCTATTGTAACCACGACCTCTACAGTTATCTATTGTAACCACGACCTTTACATTTATCTATTGTAACCACGACCTTTACATTTATCTATTGTAACCACGACCTTTACAGTTATCTATTGTAACCACACGACCTCTACAGTAACCACGACCTCTACAGTTATCCACTGTAATCACGACCTTTACAGTTATCTATTGTAACCACGACCTTTATAGTTATCTATTGTAATCACGACCTCTACAGTTATCTATTTTAACCACGACCTCTACAGTTATCTATTGTAACCACGACCTCTACAGTTATCTATTGTAACTACGACCTCTACGACCTCTACAGTTATCTATTGTAACCACGACCTTTACAGTTATCTATTGTAACCACGACCTACAGTTACAGTTACTCTATTGTAACCACGACCTATTGTCTACAGTTATCTATTGTAACCACGACCTTTACAGTTCTATTGTAACCACGACAGTTATCTATTGTAACCACGACCTCTACAGTTATCTATTGACCTTTACAGTTATCTATTGTAACCACGACCTCTACAGTTATCTATTGTAACCACGACCTCTACAGTTATCTATTGTAACCACGACCTCTACAGTTATCTATTGTAACCACGACCTTTACAGTTACTATTGTAACCACGACCTCTACAGTTACTATTGTAACCACGACCTCTACAGTTATCTATTGTAACCACGACCTCTACAGTTATCTATTGTAATCACGACCTCTACAGTTATCTATTTTAACCACGACCTCTACAGTTATCTATTGTAACCACGACCTCTACAGTTATCTATTGTAACTACGACCTCTACAGTTATCTATTGTAACCACGACCTTTACAGTTATCTATTGTAACCACGACCTTTACAGTTATCTATTGTAACCACGACCTCTACAGTTATCTATTGTAACCACGACCTCTACAGTTATCTATTGTAACCACGACCTCTACAGTTATCTATTGTAACCACGACCTCTACAGTTATCTATTGTAACCACGACCTTTACAGTTATCTATTGTAACTACGACCTCTACAGTTATCTATTGTAACTACGACCTCTACAGTTACTATTGTAACCACGACATCTACAGTTATCTATTGTAACTACGACCTCTACAGTTATCTATTGTAACCACGACCTCTACAGTTATCTATTGTAACCACGACATCTACAGTTATCTATTGTAACCACGACCTTTACAGTTATCTATTGTAACTACGACCTCTACAGTTATCTATTGTAACCACGACCCTAGATAATTACCCTTTGAAACATATTGTAACATTGACCTTTTGATAATCAACCATTGCATCCTTGCCCTTACAGATATTCACTTATTCAAAATGTCTCCTTACAGATTATCACACTTTGAAAAATATTGTAACCTTGTCTTTTAGAGATAATCAGCCATTACAACCTTGAAAGTACAATAGATAATCACCTGTATATCACCCATATAAACATGGGCATTTACAGGTGATAAGTTATTGTAACCTTAACCATCACAAAAAACCCAGTTATTGCACCATTGACCTTTACAGACAATATGTTATTGCAGCACTGACTTAACAGATGATCACCAATTTCAATATTGATATTACCAGAAGTTACCAGTTGTAATTTCAGCCTTTACAGATAATCAATTAGAATTCAGAACATTAATAATTGCAAATTCAACTTTTTTTAGAAACAACCATGAATTTACAATCACTATTTCCAAGTTTGACCTTTTACAAAATCGATCATTACAACCTAAGCCAATCAGAAGTTGATATTTTGAATATGGACTCTACTGACAGCTAATCAGAACTACTTTTTTTTTACCTTGACTTTATTGACAACCAATCAGAGGTACAACACCAATCAGAAGTAATTTCTTTCCGACTTTAGGTCTAGCAACAATCAACCATATTGTAATGTTTGAGGCTTGTTATATAAGCACTGGTTCTTCTTATTCCATCTTTACAAGGCAGTAGTTACATTTGAACCATTAGATATCTTGATGAATTTTGTAACATATGTATCACCCACAGGCACTGTGTAAGACAAATCATTGGATCAATGAGATCTTGACCTATAGGTCAAAGGTTGAATTAAAACAATATTTCCAGAATATTCATGTCCAAAGAATAACTTTAGTAGCAAGAGAAACTTGAAGATATTTGCATTACTCAAAGGCAGTGTACATAGCACTGAGTCAATGTGACCTCAAGGTCAAAGGTAAATAAAGGCATTTTCATAAATGTTTGTATAGGCAAAAAACAATTATATGTTCGCTGATAAAATCTAAAAGTCACTTGATTATATGTCAGCATTGTCAGGTCAGGTAAGGTCATGTCAGGTTAAAATCAATGCCAAATATTGAATCCTTTACTTGTTTATATATTACCTAAACCTTCTGAAGAAAAAAATTGGAAGTACATTTTTGTCAAATAAGGGCAGACATTTGCACACATTTGCATATACTGCACACAGAAACTTTTCTCAATCTTTTTAAAATCTTGTCTGAAGTGACAACACATTGGATATGAATTTTTTTTTATTGACAATCAGTTAGAAGTATTTGTTCTGAAGTTGATTGTATGAACAACTGAGGTATTTTTTTACTGACCTTAACTCTACTCCCTGTCAACCTTTCTTCTCAACAATAATTCTTCTGTCAAACTTATATGATCTGACTCTTGTTTTAAATGGAAAAAGATATTTTGACGAGAATAAATAAATGTGTTTTGTCAATTTAAAGTGTAGGAGAATGTGTAGGAACCATGTTTTAACACTCATTACATCATTGCTACTGGGGATCCCTGTATAAGAATGAGTATTTAGAAACATCTCTATTTTAAATGTTGCTCAATGTTTTATTTTCAATATCTACTTACCTGACAATTTATGTAAAGAACACTCCATGATTAAAACAAAGCTGTATGATATAATAAAATAACTTCAATTTCACAAAAATTATGCCAGAATCCAAATTTTAGGTCAGGAATCATTTCTAAATGGCCATAAAAGTTTGTGGAATACAAATAGTCTTCTGTAGGCTCTACCTGTGACATGACTGACAGCAAGTAGAAAACTCTAACACAAAAATTGAAGTCAAAACTTTTAAAAATTTAATAAGACATTTCCATTACATTTTTCACAGCATCGCTACAATTTCAGACACCTCTAGCTCATTATTGATCTCTCATTCCTTTAAAAGTCATTCAAAAGATTTTGTCTGTTTAAACTACGGGAAAATGACAGTGTTAAAATTCTATATGATATATAAATGTAAACAATCTACAAAAGCACAATTCTTTCTTCAAGTTGAGGATTGCTTTATGACTCGGAAAATCATTAACTAAGAGTACAAAATGATAATATTTCAAGATAGTTTACCAAATTTTCAAACCAAACTTATTGGGATTATCAACGCTATTCACACTGCTCTTGAATAAAAAATGTCAACTTGCATATATAACACAAATGCATATACACATTCCTCAAGTAATGATTCTTGGTCACTAACTTGCTGGTATCACATAATAAGGGATAAAATGTGGTCTAGTGTGTATTAACATACTTCTCCAGTAGTAAGCCCCAAATATGGTATTTAGCCTGTCAATAATTATTGCTGTTCTGTAGAATTAACGCCAAATACTATATCACTGTCCTGTAATAAGCCTATTCACCGACAATAAGTCCACATTTGTAACGTTGAACCTGGCTAACTGCAGGACAAAGACATTTACCTTGTTAAAATATAACCCTGTAATCACTTACAACAAGTTGACAGCTCTCTGGATTATTCATAACAATGCATTAGTTATTCCTATGTCTTCTTTACAGAATACTTTACCAAATAGATCTTTATAAACCTTCCTCTAGTAGCAACAGGACTTACTATGATTATTAAGATCTTAGGCCTAAATAAGGCTAGCCATTTTTTTCTCCAAACACTCTTTTACTACTGAAAAGCAGCATTCTGATAGCATTTACTTTGAGTGTCACCTGACTTTGCAAATCTCCAAATGTTTCACAACCCTATGCAGCTTCGTCCTCATAAAGAAAACAGGTGACCCATCTCCATTGGGAGAAAGATGTTTGTTATAAACCTAGGTAAATGCACCACTGCGGTTTATTTTTTGTATTTTGGCTGATTTTCCCTATGTGAGTTATCTGCCCTTGTTGTCGCCTGTGGTTACCACTAGGTATGCTTGGATTGTTTACATGGCAACATAAGCCATCCTGGGTTCCATCTTCAACCCTTGCTTTTCGGAACATCTTTCCATTTACTCAGAAAAGATGATATGCTGTTGATGCTCACACCTACAATGAAGCAAAAAGAATTTATGAAAATGTATACATTTCAAGATTTTTCTCCAATCTAATGGACACTGAAAAAATTCATGTGATTCATATACAAAAGAAATTCATGATTCAAAGAAATTCCTGGTATAAGATTTCTCTAATATTTACAGACTAAAAGTGATTGTTTCTTCAGACGAAGAAATAATATAAGCTAGTCCATGTCTCCGAAAAGTAAAAGTAAAATGAACAGAGGGCCATAATGTCTACCTGGTTTAAAAAAAGGTCACAGGTCATGGCCCCCTGTCATTCAAACTTTTGTATTATCTATCAAACAGCTGATACTCTGGTGATATAAATTTTGACTCTGACTTTCCTCCTGTGATAGAGATTTTGAATCTGGCTAAACTCCTGAGATAGAAATTTTGACTCTGGCTTAACTCCTGACATGGAAATTTTGACTCTGACTTTACTCCTGAGATAGAAATTTTGACTCTGGCTTAACTCCTGACATGGAAATTTTGACTCTGACTTTACTCCTGAGATAGAAATTTTGACTCTGGCTTTACCCCTTTAACAGAGATTTTGACTAACATTACCCTTGAGGTAGAGATTTTGACTTCATATATATCACCAGAAGTAAATACAAAGAGATTAAGCATGGCGTTATCATTAATACTATATGGCTGCCATTATCTTGAAGCATACCGATTGTGAACTTAGAATAAATCAGAGGTTTCCAAAAATTGAAAATCAAACAATTAAAATGATTTGTTGACACATACCTTCCTTGGCTGCTAACATCTTCTTTACAAGTGGTGGTAAACTTCCTTTGTCCAGTTCTTTTGCAGTCAGAACAGCTACCATGTTTCCACTATTCAAATCTCCACCCTGGACGGCAAGATAGCGAGCACAATTCAAGATCTCGAACAGACACCTGATAACAAATTGTTGAAATGTATCCATAAATAATGATTCATTAAGAATTATGAAATATTGTTTTTTAATTTATGTATGTTTACAAAGAAACACATGTTGTGTAAATGTCAAACTTGAACATAGTCTGTTCCATGTGATGTTACATGATAAGGAATCAGGACTCAGAATCACAATGTATCAGGCTTAATTTTGTTGAAATCTGTCAGGTCATATCACAGGAGAAAAACTTTATACTCTAAATCCTCGATTCAACCTTAACAGGCCTCACTCACCCCTTGCTAATAGGGGGTCGCATTACCTTTATATATATATTAATAACCATTCCTTTCCAAAATGATGTCTCTATTACTTTTTAAGAAATAGCGATAACAAACTTTAAAAGTTACAATAAAAAATGCCCTCCTGTCAGCCATTTTGCTTTTTTTGTTATCATACTCAAAATCAAATGGGCACAACTAGGAACCATGGGAAACCTACATATGAAATTAAGAAAGGTCCATCTAGTACTTCTCTCACCAGACCCAATATCGAATGGGCGAAACTAGAGACAAATGGGAAACAATATATGATATTTATGAAAGAGCCATTGAGTACATCTGAAGAAAAAGCAATAACAAAAATTGTTTACGGACGAACAGACAGACGGATGGAGGATGGATGACTAAAAAATAAAGAATTCGGACCCCCCTGTATGTTCCCAGGGGTCAAATCAACTCAGATTATACAAATCATGATTGCCCCACCCCTCCTAGCCCCCTAACCCTAACCAATAACCCGCCCACCCTGTGATGTTTCAGGCAAAATTTGGTTAGGCATATGTTCAGGCATATGTGACGAGAAGCATGTTAAAGTTAAAGTTTATAAACGGCTGACAAGGACAGATGAAGCATATTGGTATTAGAGCAGCTTGATCCTACAAGTCAGATGATCTAAAATAAAACAGAATTGATCTGAATAATGAAATCCTTTATGTGATAGAGCACCACTACCAGACCTTTATCAAATTCATAACCTTCAGATAACATGTTCTGATATTATCTTAGTAAAGTGCTTTCTATGGTAAGAAAGTTCCACTATTTCTGATCCAAGTTTAACCTGAATACCAAAGGGTCATGACCTCTGATTTAAAGATCAAGTATTACTAAACCCTGATTGGGAATTTCCTTGTTAAGAAAAAAATGCACAAAACAACGTCTCGATGTCAGGACATAGGTAATCTCTCACCTCCTTGATTAGTGACAAATGTGAACGAGGTCAAACAAAATGATGGCAAACCATCACTGATTACTAATGTATGTGAAACAAGGAAAACTAAACACTTCCAAATGTCTAAGGTTTACAAGTAAATAAAATTCAATACAGACAAACTGTACCTCAGTTGTTTTTAATAAAAAAAAACACCAATCGATCTACTCAGTTGACATTTTAGTACACATCTACCCCAACCATTTTATCCGGGATATTGACCAAAATGGCGTCCATTAAACTCTGAAACAGACGACCTTTTCACAACTTCCATTACCATAGATTTACATTGTAACATGCAAATAGAAAAACTAATTGAAATGCATGGTTTCATGTCTGTCCATTTTAGTATCAGTAGACCAGTACAAGCAGACAATCCATTATAGAGACAGTGACCTTTCCTCACCTTTGTCAGAACATTACCCAGTACTTAAGTAGACACTATTTGCAGAAGGGTAGACCAGTCCAATCAGCTTTTTATTGTTTATTTATGTCTTTTTTCACAACAAAAATGTCTGGGATATTTCTAAGAAACTCCAAAAAGGAAAAAAAGCAGATTATAAAATGATTTAAGCAATTACATTTTTGTCATATTTTTATCTTCTGTTAGCCAGAAAGATTTGATTTTTTTTCTATCACAATGTCTTTAACACTCAAAAATGTGATACTCCAACACACATTTCCAATCGCTTTCAATACACAATGTAACAGATAGCCACAGACATGACAGTGGAGTCTTTAAGACACATCATTCATTTTGAGGTAGACACATCAGAGTTAGACACATCAGTTACATTAGAGTTAGAAACATTAATCAATTCAGAGTTAAACACATCAGTCATGTCAGTGTTAAGACACATCATTCACATTAGAGTAAGAAACACAAATCATTTCAGAGTAAGACACATAATGTCAAGTCAGTTAGTATTAGATATATCAGTGTAAGACACACCAATGTTAGACACCTCAGTCATATCAGCGTTAGACATATTAGGGTAAGACTTCATTACAAGACATATAAGTGATATCAGTGTTATAACACATCAGGGTAAGACACATTGATATAAGATGTATCAGTATAAGACACATCAGTCACATCTTTCTGAGACATATCCTATTGTCAGACATTAGTTCCATCAGTTAGAACTGCAGTTTCTGCCTGTTCATCTATCACTGTTTCCCTGCTACACTACATTGGTTTGTAAAAAGTAATCTATCTCTCTATTTGACTTGCAAGCCTCTCACAGTGCAAGCCTTATCAGCTGCTGAATCCTTTACAGGAAAGACATATAATATGCTACATGGGGGTGTAGGTTTACTGGTATATTGAGTAGGCAACAGATTCTGTGAGCATGCAATAAAAAGGCCTGTAGAAGCATCTGTGCCCTATCACTATTATTAGATAATGTCAGTTACATGGAGGCCCCAAAAAATTCCAAACCAATTTGTATAGCATTCTAGGGTTTAATCATCACAACTTACAATCGCTTTACAACTGGTTGGATCCCAAGCAAGGCAAGCCTGGTAAAAATGTGTTTCTCAAATCTTGTGATAAATCACCTATAAAACTGCTTTAGAATGATTCAGTAAATTATTAAAAGACATGATAACAAATTAGACTTTACTGGTCTCCAGCATTAAGTTAAGATTGATATTCACTGATAAGTTTTAGGTTGTAATTAAAAACACAGGAGTTTTTATACTGCGTAACTGATGCAGCTTTCGTAGATAATAGCACCAGTTTCTTCAGCTGAAATGGAGAAGATTACAGTTGATGCATTATCGAGACTGGTAATAGAACATAAAAGATCGGAAACGAGTTCCAAGCAAACCTACCACATAGCTTTGTCCTTCTTTAAGAGTTTAGGTGTGTTATCTTGGAGTTTTTCGTTGCTCTTCTGTGCTCGAATGTATCTATGAATAGATGGAAAGGGAAAACATCAAAGCGATTTGTTTGCGAGTTTTTTGAAGTTTTTCCGTATTGCCACTAGTAAAGCAAGTTTAAAATGACAAGATGCAAGAAGAAAGATGCAAGGGATCTATACTGATAATACAATGAAAATTCTTTTGATAGTAAATATATTCCACATTTACAAATAATCTCTATCACGTTTAAAAAGACATGCATCTTCAAGTGAACAAGAAATTGTGGAAATTTGAAAGCAGAATTAAACCGATCAATATCAGTTTGCTTGAAATGTATGCGATTTTAATACTAGTTACATTTACTAGGTAATAATTCTTCCATGACACATTAGTAATCTTGATGAAAAAATCAACAAAATTTCCTTTCACTGTATATAGAGGAAATCTAATGCTTTCCCATTCAATATCATATAGGGCATGTATATGACAAAATATCTATACCAGTATTTTTGTGTGAATCAATTACAAAACTGTTTTTATATTTCAAATAAGACAAATTCTGAAATAAACGCAGTACAGTTTTATACCAAAATCAACTAATTCTACCTTTCCTTCCTTTGTGTCCAAACAGGAAAATAGGGGAATTTTAAGGCAGTGACAAGAAAACACTGCTCTGATTGGTTAAAACTACAAAAGTTATATAGTCATTGAAAAATTTACATCAATGGTGATAACATAAAATTTCTTATATCATTACTGTAGTGGTGATATAACTTTTTATCGAAATGATAAATTCCTAAATTTCACCTGCAAAAATGTAATAAATATATTCACCTTAATTTGGCCATTCATCACAAATGTATTGAAATATTTTCTGTTTAATTACTTCTGCTCTACAGTATGTCTGTACATATTTATTTACTTTCTGTTAATTAGCAGTCTGTTGATGTGATTCTAAGTTATTCAATGGTAATCTTTCAATATATTGAACACTATAACTAAAACATTAACAAGATTTGACTTGTTTTTTACTTACAATCAGGTCATAATCAAATTATTGTGTAAGTAACCTGGCCATATATCACCGACATATTTATCAAAAATTCACGAACAGACTGTATGAAAAGATCATATTATGCCCTGAAACTGAGAACTAAAAGGATGCTTGATTCTAGCTGGTAAGGAAATTGATGGCCAATGTAAGTTGACCATACTAATGCTAAACAAAAAAGAGTATCAGGGAAACTGATGAATGCTCCCCGAAAATGACTAATGGACAAAACATTTGAACAAAGGGCAATAATTCTGTAATTAAAGGGTTGCAGGACCTGAACTTGGTATACAACACATTCTGTTAGTTAACTAATGCATACACCAAGTTTCATTATCCTACCTTAAATGCAAGCATATAAAGTAATGCTCTGGACATGAAATGTTAACAAAGTTCAATAACTCTGTCATTGAGGGGTTGAGGGGCTTAAATTCGGTATACTGCACATTCTGTTAGTTAACTAAAGTATACACAACTATATGCTCCCTTGAAAACTTTCTGGGTGTATAACAAACAAGACATACTGGTAGATGGGAAAACAATGCAATAACTATAATTTTCTACATAATACTAAAAAAAAATCCACTTGATTTGAGCTTATATCTTAGTGTAAATTACATATGTGTCACCAGAACAGTTGGGAATAAAGTGGAACAACACTCAATGATGTATATTCTAAATATATCTCAATAAATAGATACATGTATCTATATAAATATATATGGTTAAGTACATCGATTGTGAAAATATTCCATATGTGTATGGTTTACCTATTCCAATAACCACATGTACATTATGAAAATGTAGCACAAAATACTGTTACTCAAAATTGTTAGAATCATTATATATGTCTCGAAACTTCATTTCATCAAGTTCCCTGAATAAGGTGTAAGAAGTATGATGTTACACCTAATAGAAATAAAAGCTATTTTGCATATGATAGTGTTTGTCAAGATGAGCATATGTATCTTCTGTTGACATACTTTCATTTGTGATGAAATTTACAAGAGTTAATGTTAGGACATATCTTTTTGAAAAAAATATGACAAATTAACAATGTTATACAAACCTGTTTCCTTTACGGAATTCAGCCTCCAGCCAACGAATTGCCTCCCTTGCCCGCCCCGACTCCTTCTTCAGAAAATCAAGAGTGTCTATCACTAAAATCACAAACGTCCATATAAATTTTACATATCTTTTCATTTTCAAAATAAACTTGTTATATCAATGTAATCAAGCGTATCATTGCTTAGTTAAGAACTGAACTGTTTTATGACATAGTGTAAATGAACATGCAAGCAAAAATGGCGTAAAGTTTTGTCATTTATAATGACCATAAATGCCATCAAAAGACAGATCAATGTTTACATTTATATTTCCTATACATATTGCTGCCTTATCTAGATAATAACTAATGAATTATTCCAAACCGATAATGTAATCCTTCTAACAGACCAGCCACTTTGATGACGTACCATTGCTGTCCCTTACATCTACAGTGATGATGTCATGTGATGTTTGTCATTTACAGCACTTTGAATTTATCATTGAAAATTTAAATAATGGCACTGAAATATTATCATTCATATCTCAAGGATCTTTAAGACATTTTATCACTAAAGGTTAAATTGAAGAAAAGGTATTATTATGACATATGAACCATTTTTGAAATGATTTATTCACGATGATTTGTTCCAAGGATTTCGATAGACACATACAATCATGTAAGAAAGAGATTCTTAGTATCAATCAATAAGTGCTGTGATATAAATCAACTGAAGGCAAATAAAACTTTCTGTTTGTGGATCAATAAAAGGTTATATAATGTATTTTACAAATTAATGAGAACCTTACCAGATGTTGGGATGACAAGGATACCTTTTCCAGACTGCAAGAGCTGCTTGACCATGCTGAGGCAGTCACATAGACAGTGAGGGTCCGGAATGAGGTATGGTGGAAAGCTGGAATGGTCATTCATATCCAGAGATCCTTCCAGCTGACTCACCTCAGCCTGTCACACAAATACCATCTCAAAAAACAGTACAGGCTTAATTATGTTTTAAAATCAGTTTTGTGCCATACTTGTGAGGCTTTCCAGAACAATTTGAAGGGTAATATTTGACATTCAGAATGTTGAAGTAGCATTCAGACAGAATGGGGAGTGTAAACAATATATTCATTTAATTTTTAAAAGTCTCTTAATTTCTATAAAAGTCAAGAGTTATATGATAAAAAGAATATAACACTTGTAGCCATGTCATATTGAATTTTTAATTGTTTAATTGTCTGAAGGTTTGTGTCATAGCAATTGCTGTAAGTGTTAATATAGAGCAGAATAGAACTTCTTATAATACATTTAACAGAAGATAAAAGATTGTTGATTTGATGACTACATGGTCACCATCAGACAAATGACCAGTGTAGAGCATATTAACACTGACATACAAAGTGTATGATATGGTAAGGAATAGACCAACTTTTTCAACTGTACTATAATCCTATGTACACTAAGGTTGAAAACAGTGTCACAAGACAGTAAAAATATTATAGAAACAAAAAATCCCAGAGGAATTTTGGCATCCACAATTGTTTTTGCTCTTAATGATAAGAAAATTGAACATTCCTTTGCAGAAATAGCGATGATCATCTTTACTTGCCTAATCCAAAATGGTCTCCTTGAAGCCATTTTGTTTCTTCTTAACCCCTAAAATCAAATGGGCTCAAATAGCGACCAAGGGAACATATATATGAAATTTGAGAGAGATCCATTCAATTCTTCTTAAGAAAAAAGTATATCAATCTTTACTAGGCGAAATCCATGATGGCTGCCTTTCTGCCACTTTTTTTCTGATCAGTCCCAAACTCAAATGACCTATGCAGTGTTTATCAAGAAATAGCATTAACAAGCAGTCAAAATTCAAGATGGTCACCTATCCACCATTTTCTGATTAGACCTAAATCAAACGGGCAGAACTAGGGACCAAAGGGAACCTAGATATGAAATTCAAGAAAGATCCATCAAGTTCTTCTAAAGAAATAGCAATTACAAACTTTCAAAGTCAAAATCCAAGATGGCCACTTTACAGCCATCTTGTTTTTCTGATCAGTCCCAAAATTAGACAGGCACAACTAGAAACCAAGTAGAACAAACACATAAACTTTAAGAAAGATCTATCTAATACTTTTCAAAAATAGCAATAACACTTTTCATTGAAAAAATTCAAGATTGCTACCTTACAGCCATTTTGTATATTTGATCATACCCAAAATCAAACAGGCACAAATGGGGACCAAAGGGAACCTACATATGCAATGTGGGAAAGATCCATCTCGTGCTTTTCAAGATATAGCGATAACAAAAATTATTTACGGATGAAGGAACGATGGACCACAGACAGACAGATGGATGGACAATGTACGTAGGTTGCTTTGAATAGCCCAAATTCTGATGATGTTGAGCTAACAAAAACAAGAGATCCCAGAGGGATCTTGCCCCCACCATTGTTTGACCTTTATATGCTCTTTGAAAGTTGGATCTTTTCCCTTCTTTTCTCTTCTTTCCTCTGTTTTTGCTCTCAATTATGGGACATTTGAACATTCCTTTACCTGCCAAATCCTAAATGGTTTCCTGGAAGCCATGCAATATTCATACAAGAATCAGTAGACCAAACATATGTCAAGGTTTAGTGATGAAACAGATTGGAGACAAAACCAGGGTAACAACAAAACTGGATACAAACCTGCAGTCGTAACTGTGCCATGTCACGCATCAGCTGGTTTCGTCTGCTTTCTTCATCTGCCTGAATAATTGATAAAACTTTGGTCACAGAAATGTCAGGTGCTAGCAACCATCCTATTTACCATCAATGGCCATGTACATATGATTTACAACTAACTTTTATCATAATGTTTTGTTTCGACCAATGAAATTTTGGTATTTTATTGAAGGTTTGGTGATAAAATGAACCAACATGCAAAGGTCTTGGCCACAGATTTTGTTGAAATCCACCGAGATGTTTTGGAGTAGTGGCATTTCAAAGATCTACCTTTTCACTGTCACAGGGTTATGCCAATCTCATTTAATCAAGAAATAATTGCCATCTACCATTTATAATTCAGACAAAATTTGGTTGGAACATACTATGGCATTATGGAGAAATCTAAAATTTACAAATGTTGGACAATGACAGATGAAGCATGATGGTACTAGATCATTGTGACCCTTCGGGTAAGATGACTTTGACATTAATATCAAGAACAAAGTGACCTTGAAATGCATGGACACTGCACTGAAAAACACAAGGTATAATATATCAAATGTTGCCTCAGAGAGAACAATATAATACCTTTAAAAGTTGAGAACTATGTAATAAATTTCAAAGTCATAGACTCTTCAATAATTCCTGTGAAACAACAGCGATCTTTGACAGCTAATATTCAATAACCCAACACAGTGTAAAGTGTTCATGAGGAGTGGGTGGAAGATTTGCTGTTACAGACTTATTCCTACATGCGGATTGGTATCAGAATAAATATTTCAATCCTTCGAAATCCTAAAACATTAATAACACAAGGGCAATGATACTTTTTTTTAATCGTTTAAACAAAATTGTCTAGAAAAAAAATCAAAAGTCACAGAAACATTAAGGATACATATATGTATGGTTACCATGGCAACAGCCTCATTCAATCTTAAACTGTCAACATAAACAATTTTAGGCCCTTTTCCAATCTTCTATCTCCTGAATATTGTCAGAGTTAAATAGATGCTGTGTAATCCGCAGACCAGTAAAGGGAAATCTTCAGGACTATTCCCATTACTGAATGTAAATACACATCAGGATTGTAATACACTATATATATGTGGAACAGCAACAGTAAAGTACAAAGATTTTCTCTGTGATAATAATGATAGGGGAATACAGAACAAAAGAATGCCTAGAATGTCAGACTTTTATGTAATGATGCATTCCTACCAGATCAGTAAATACTTCAGCTGTTGTAGACAGAATGTAATGACTTCTTCTTAGAAAGCAACAACCTGATAGTTTGTGATAAAGTGACAACATAACTGTTTCTGATAAAGTGACAACATGACTGTTTCTGATAAAGTGACAACATGACTGTTTCTGATAAAGTGACAACATGACTGTTTCTGATAAAGTGACAATATAACTGTTTCTGATAAAGTGACAACGTGACAGTTTCTGATAAAGTGACCACTGAAGGTTTGTGATAAAGTGACAACATGACAGTTTCTGATAAAGTGACCACTGAAGGTTTGTGATAAAGTGACCACTGAAGGTTTGTGATAAAGTGACAACATGACAGTTTCTGATAAAGTGACCACTGAAGGTTTCTGATTAAGTGACCACTAAAGGTTTCTGATAAAGTGGCCACTAAAGGTTTGTGATAAAGTGACCACTGAAGGTTTCTGATAAAGTGACAACATGACTGTTTCTGATAAAGTGACCACTGAAGGTTTGTGATAAAGTGACAACATGACAGTTTCTGATAAAGTGACCACTGAAGGTTTCTGATAAAGTGACAACATGACTGTTTCTGATAAAGTGACCACTGAAGGTTTGTGATAAAGTGACAACATGACAGTTTCTGATAAAGTGACCACTGAAGGTTTCTGATAAAGTGACAACATGACTGTTTCTGATAAAGTGACAACCTGATGGTTTAAAAAAACGTGCCTTGACAGTTTCTGATAAAGTGACCACTGAAGGGTTGTGATAAAGTGACCACTGAAGGTTTGTGATAAAGTGACAACATGACAGTTTCCGATAAAGTGACCACTGAAGGTTTCTGATAAAGTGACAACATGATTGTTTCTGATAAAGTGACCACTGAAGGGTTGTGATAAAGTGACCACTGAAGGTTTGTGATAAAGTGACAACATGACAGTTTCCCATAAAGTGACCACTGAAGGTTTCTGATAAAGTGACAACATGATTGTTTCTGATAAAGTGACAACCTGATGGTTTAAAAAACGTGCCTTGATAGTTTCTAATAAAGTGACAACCTGATGGTTTGTGATAAAGTGACATGATGCTTTCCGATAAAATGACAACATAATTGTTTCCGATAAAGTGATAACATGAGAGTTTCTGATAAAGTGACCACTGAAGGTTTCTAATAAAATGACAACATGACAGTTTCTGATTAAGTGACCACTGAAGGTTTCTGATAAAGTGACAACATAACAGTTTCTGACAATGTGCCGACATTATGGCTTTTGATAGTGACAACATGATTGTTTCTGATAGTGACAACCTGGTGGTTTCATACAAAGTGACAACAAGATGGTTTTTGATAAAGTGACAACCTGATGGTTTCTAACAAAGTGACAAAATGGTTGGATAAAGTGAAAATATTATTGAATTCTGTTAAAGTGACAAGATGGATTAGATAATGTAACAACCTGGTGGTTTCTGTTAAAGTGACAACCTGGTGGTTTCTGATAAAGTGACACATTGTAATTTGATAAAGTGGCAATATTTTTTTGAAGTCTGATAAAATGACAACCTGATGAATTCTGTAAACATGACAACAAGATGGTTTTTGATAAAGTAACAACCTGCTGGTTTCTGGTAAAGTGACAACCTGATGGTTTCTAAAAAAGTGACAACCTGATGGTTTCTGATAAAGTGACACGTTGTTATTTGATAAAGTGACAATATTTTTTTGAAGTCTGATGAAGTGACAACCTGATGATTTCTGATTAAGTGACAACCTGATGGTTACTGATAAAGTGACAATATTTTTTTGAAGTCTGATGAAGTGACAACCTGATGATTTCTGATTAAGTGACAACCTGATGGTTTCTGATAAAGTGACACGTTGTTATTTGATAAAGTGACAATATTTTTTTGAAGTCTGATGAAGTGACAACCTGATGGTTTCTGATTAAGTGACAACCTGATGGTTACTGATAAAGTGACATGGTATTTTGATAAAGTGACAATATTTTTTAATTCTGATAAGGTGACATCAAGATGGTTGGTCTCTGATAAAGTGACAACATAATGGTTGCTTATGAAGTGAAAACCTGATAATTTGTGATAGAATGACAAATGCTTGTTTCTGATAAAGTGATATGCTGATATCTGATACAGTGACAACAGGATAATCTTTAATAATATGAAAATAATTATATTTTTGATAAAATGACATTAGTCTACTTCAGGTATATTAATACATACCGGTATGTCATTGTCTGATTGGCTCACAGGCATATATTGTATGTGTTTTATTTGGATAGGGTCTATACCGAGTATATAGAAAATGATGGGTTTTCATTACTCAACCACATGTTGATTCAACCAAGGAAACAACAAATATTTTCAAACTGTAAATAAGTAAGGAAGTCACATACTTTCTTTTTTAGAAACATCAATGTTGTTATCATTTTAGAAAAACGTTTCAGATGATTCTATTTTTGAAGTCTAAAAGTAACAACCCATTTTATATCATTATCATAATGCACCTGGTCTCATTCACTTGATATATATCGGAAATGGCTGATCTCAGCAATTTTTGAACTTCATGTTAATTTATTTATCTTTCATTTTCTGACCTGGTAATTTCAGGGCAGCACACCTGCATGTAACCAGCATTAAGAGATGATTTCTTCATCTGTGTATAAGGGGACATAACTCCTGATGCAAACATCTCCAAGTGTAAGAGTCACCAGTTTAAAACATTTTGATGGAGCCAGCTCAAAGGGCTGGAGACTGTACATGATGAGAAAGGAAAAAAGGATAATTGGAGCCTAAGATTGTGTAATGGTGGAAAGATGGAAAATTTGCTGCACATTACATAAACAAACATTAGCTGAAGTGTTAGCAGTTGTGTGAGGTGGAATGATTGACAGGCAGCCTGCCCTTACCCAGACACCAGACTCTTTCAATTAATGGTGTAATAAACCTGATCAGGTAATTGGTTGTAAGTACCAATCGCTCCCCAAGTCAGTTAGATCAAAGGCCTCGCCAGTGTCAGGGAGCAATTCTCCTCAAATGAGCAGCAAATTACAGCGAGAAATTATAATCAACCGTTTGATAATATTCTTTGCTCTTGGTTTCAATAAGACATCATAAAGAAGAAAAACAAGGGATGCAACAGGAAGACACAAATGGCTTGGTTTTTCTTCAACCCTCATTTCTGACATAGAAAAAGTTTCCTTCATCACCAATAAAACATTTTTATTTTGTATAAAAATAGGTTGAAGTTATATGCGATGAACGTGGAGGGACAGCTGCTTAGAGCAGTTTAAATGTCTCCCGTTGGCGAGATATATTTGATGAATTTATATAATTATTTTGTGAGTGATCTGATACAGGAACAAGTTGTTATAGTAACCTTCACACTGGTGATCTAAGGTGAAGGTCAGTATGCTGCTTGTCAAGGTCACATCAACACTATAAATGTAAAGACCACTTCAACAACTAAACCAAGATTTTCCTATCTCTACTAATCAAAGTTGCCCTCTTCCTCAAGGTTACTTTAAACACCAGACCAATGCTTCCCATATTCTCAAGGTCATATGATATGCCAAACCAAAGTTAACTTATCGCTGTGCCAAGATGACAATGAGGTTTCATGTTAATACCAGCTTAACACTTTATATCAAGGTCACAGTTATATCTCTATCAATGGGAATGTTAAAATCTAGTTCTCTACCTCATAAAATTTTTCAGACAGTAAATGTCACACCTAATTCAGGACAAAAGACTCACAGAAGGAGATGAGAAAGACGAATAGTCAAAACAGAGGTTAGAAGCTAAGGATATAA